AGCGTGCTTTGGTCAGCATCTCAATTCAACATGCCTACCCATGCGACAGCCTTTTCGGCGTAGAGGCACCTCAACAAGCAGAAAATGCTGCAGGATGCTGGGGCACGCCTCGCGGCAATCGGGCCCAGCTTCTGCTGACCCAAGCTCCGCGGGTGGACCTCAGACGTGTAGACACAACTGACTCAACTGCATCCACCTCTTGCGAGTATCACGGCATGCACGGCGTGGACATGTAGCAGTGACCTCTTGTGAAAGTCGTGTCTCTTGCATGTCGTAGGCAAGCTGCTCACAGTCAGTGGCTCAGATCTGTCTGTAGCAGCGGCCGCCTCTGCCAGCACTCTGTCAGCAAAAATGCAACACTTAACTAAACGCTAGGATCATGATGCCTCAGAAGGTCGTGCACTTGGAGAAGATGGGACGTGCTGATCGACATTCTGCTCGTCTTCCTCGGCCGACACGTTACAAAGATGTCGCGGACCCCTGATCGAATCCCTCGAGCTTGGCTTCGCACACTTTGGCAAAGGTCTTCTTTCTTCAACTGATTTGCAGCAGCCTTGGCACACAGTTCCTGCTCTGTCTGCCTGCATCTACTCCTGGAGTCTTATGCTTGCCTACACTACATGTCATCGCCCTTGGGTGTTCTCATGGAACAGCACGTGTCACCACGTTCTGACCAGCGTTATGCCAGTGTACATCGTCCAGCGTCATTTATTGCAGGTTTGCAGCGAATCTGTTTGTATGCGGCAAGTTTCCTCAAGTGTTGGTTTCTGCCTTAACGACTTGTAAGTGCCTGCAAAAGCCTTCGTAGCTTCCTCCATCGTCTCTGTGTAATGAAGCGTAAATGCAGTATGCCAACTGCGACATGGCCAACATCCATCGTCCCGCTGTTTCGTTCGCCCCACACCCGCGGGAAAACAATTTGCACGAGATCTGCAGCCCCCCCGGCGAAGTTCAACGATGCTGCCCACGGACTGAAGAATGCCTCGTGCTGATTCCCTTGCCCGCAGGTTTTTCCTCCCGCATTTTGTGCAAGAGAACTCTCGTGGCAGGCATCCGAATGCAGTGGCCGTTGCTTGCCGAAGCTTGCCAAGCTCAATCTTTCCCCTCCCGAAAAAGCACGAGAAGTGTTGATGTTGACACATCAAACGAGACACGTATACTCGAGGTTCCAGTAACTGCGGTTCTTGTTGTCACAATGTCAAAGCCTCGAGGTGCAGCACATTAGTAACATGCCTGCAGCAAGAATTGTTCTGCTTCAAAGGCGCAGCTTGTGCAATCACTTCCGCAGCCTTACTTGCCGAGTCCTGTCACGTTTCGAGTCCAAGAACTACCTGTATCAATACTACTGAGCCACTGCGGCCTCCTTGGCCATGGACTGCAAGGACTGCAAGTGCTGGGTGAGAAGCTCAGCAACCTGCCCGATCACTGCTGCAGCTTTTCCAAGACATTGCAAGACGCAACTGTCAGGAACACTTGCGCATTGATTCTGGTGCCAGCAAAAGGTGCCTCTCTGTGGCCTTCGCATTCTGCCAGGCTCAGAGCAGTTACACCCACCTGCAGCTGGGAGAAACGCAACCGTCATGCAGCCCGCTCGGGTGTGTCTGTACAAGTTGCCCAAGTTGCCGCAGAATCTACATGTTGACGGAAATCCCAACGACTATCCCATTCACTTAAGCAGCTCAATTGTGCGGTTTTCGTCCCATTTACAATTTTAAGCATGCGGATGCGCATTTCACCAAGCCGTCGTGCAGGCTGCCGTCATCACCGCTTTTGAGCTTCATTGTTTGCTTCATGCTTCCATTGCCGCGGCCGTCGCCGAAATCAGTGCAAGTCCTTCAACCAGGTGTGCCATGCGCACAGGATCTTGAGCTTCAATCACACTTGATTTCTCGCGGGCCACTCAAGCAAGCTTCATCCCAAGCCATGTTGTTCTGCAAGTTGTAAACACAGTGCTACACTTGGTGCCGCGCTGTGCTTTCATGGGCCGCGTCTGCGCGACCCTCCAACAACAGCTGGCACACCTGCCATGCAAGCGCAGTGCCAACGTCGGAAACCCGAATCCTACGTGCAATTGAAGTCCTATGCTGCTTGCCTACACCTGCAAACGGACCTTCCACGCAGCATGTACTGTGGCAACTCTCTTTTGCCACCTCGAGATCACCATAGCAGGCAGCTTCGATCAGTGGCGGCTCGCCAGAAAGGTCAGCTGCATTCGGATCTGCCCTTGCCTGGCCGACGTGTCTCTGTAATGTCATCGTCTGCACTCGCGTGCTAGCAGCCAATACTTTGCTAAGGTCAAGCACCTCCAACAGCTTGCGCATTGGGCCTCAACACTCAACACTGTTTTCTGGATATCCAAGCATTGTCACCACCATCTTTTGATTGTTTACATATGTTTATACATATCAATGCGGCACCTACGTTGACTGCGCACTTCAACAATCATTGAGCGGATGTAAGACTGTCGTAGGAAAGCCGCGACCGCATGCACAAACTGGCAGATCAGAGCGTGAGCTCGGAAAAACTTTCCAAGGTGGGCTCTCATTTTAGTATATGTGCAGTATGACTGATGTCGAAGGCATGGAACTGAGCGAAGGCCGTCTAGGGCCTCTGAGGTGCTACAAGTACGAGACATGATGCTTGGGTGCTGGCGAAGCCATGGGCCTGCTGGCGAAGCATCGCAAGGGCGTTCCATGGCAGCACGGCATGCGAGCCTAGGCAGACTCATGAACGCCACGGCACCGACACGACCGCGACGGACAAGGGAACACTTGGATGCCCCCTTTTTTGAAAACTACTTCGCGAAGTATGGACACTGCCGTTCAAAGCATACAAGTGCTGGACATCAATGGTGTTTCGCCCAGCAGGTTCCGCGCATCGACCTGCCGGAAGACACCGACACATACGATCAAACACAAGGATGCAAGGGCGCATGGACGCACGCTGGCAAGCTAAAGTCATCTTCTCATTTCTTATTGTTGCATGTTTTCGATCCTATCCGATTTGCTCAGACGCTGCTCGAATCACTCGGAGTGGGGGTCCTAGGCTAAGCCCCTCGCCACACAATGCAAGAACCAGCGGTACGTCTGGCTGATCAGGCCAGATACGACCATGCACTGACAGTGTCTACGTTGAGCCGTGGCTGTCAGGCATGCACTGCCTCCCTGCTGCACTGTTGCAGGCATCCTTTAGTCTCGGGGTGCTACACACACACAGCTGCCCCTGTGAAGGGCTAAGATGCTTCCCAGGTGTGCCAGTTCCAACATGAGCAACATGCACTCCACGCGTTCCAACATTCGCAAACCGCACTCGCGACATGACGCTGCGAAGAGACTACCTGTTCAACATCGGCAAGCCTCACTCAGGACATGAAGCCGCAGAAAAACCGCTACACGTTCCTGCGTTTGTTGTCTGGTTTTGTGTTATCTAAGTTTGTGGTGTGTGCATGAATGAAGGAGATTCTAGAGAGACAGGACGGTGAAAGGAAGGGGTGATGAACACCATGCAAAAAGATCACAAACGAATGGAGATGCGCGCCAATCGCATGTGGCATGTGGTTTTCGTGGTGCATGCATGAGTGAAAGAGACTTACAGGAGACAGGACGGTGAAATTAAAGGGTGATGAATACGCAAGCAAAGAGTGCACAACGAGTGGAAAGGTGCGCTCTCTGTATGCATCCTTTTCGTCGGTTTGACATGCGAATATGGGAGTTCGCAGGTCTGAGCCGCAGCCCGCCATGTCGCTGTTTATGTGTGGTCGAGAGCTTCGCAGGCAACATTGCAACCACTCTCTCCCTTATGCTTGCATTGCCGGCCATAAGTTTGGCATGTAAACAAGCACACTTCACGTATGCTCGAGCATTCTCCAACGCAAATTGTATGGTCGGAAAGCATACTCCATGTATGCTACAGTCATTCTTCAACGCCAATTGTATAGTCGGAGAGCATACTCCATGCATGCTAACAGTCATTCTGCAACGCCAGTGATGGTCGGAGAAGGCATTACGCACGCAAGTTGTGTGGTCGACGATGTTGCATTTAGGAGCACGCGTAGACACTGCCCCGACATTTTCAGCATTTATGTAGCAGAGTATTTTGGAGAATGTACTGCGCTCATCCTTCTTTCTGTATAAAGCTGGAGCCTGGCACTATGACAGATAACCAGCCGAAGTACACACGTGGATGGACCCGTGATATGACCGGAGTCATAGATTGGGTTAGCAAGCTAAAGTCATCTTCTCACTTCTTATTGTTGGATCTTTTCGATCTTGTCCGATTTGCTCAGACGCTGCTCGAATCACTCGGAGTGGGGGTCCTAGGCTAAGCCCCTCGCCACACAATGCAAGAACCAGCGGTACGTCTGGCTGATCAGGCCAGATACGACCACGCACTGACAGTGTCTACGTTGAGCCGTGACTGTCAGGCATGCACTGCCTCCCTGCTGCACTGTTGCAGGCATCCCCTGGTCGCACACCCAGGCACACACACACACACGCTCTCTCACACACACACACACACACTTGAGTCATGCGAGGTTGCATTCGTAGTCCATTGATCTTATAGCCGGTGGAGTACAGGGGCCTGTGATGAAGTTGCAGTAGAATACATGGGACATGATTCCGTACAATATAGCTAAGTCATGCGCAAGTAGTATCAGTGATAGTCTCACTATCAATAATGGTGTAACGAAAAGGCGCACATCTCTTATGGTAACTAAACCGAAGATTTCAGAAAATTTGCTAAGGCTTACACGTAAGAGCCCTGGTGTGCACTCACAGGTATTCACGCAGGCTGCCCAGACTGTGCATGTACACACGTCATGCTTGATGGGTGAGGTTCTGGGCTTAGCTGCACCATGTCAATGCAGGTACACAAGGCTGGCGGAGCTCAGCTTCCCATGAGATCAAGTAGCTTCGTTCGGCGTGGTCCTTGGTCTGATGCCCCCCTGTTTTTTGCTCGCGATACAAATGGAAAGCGACGTCTTCTCTGCATGTTCTGCAAAGCTCCATACACACTTTGTCACCCTCTTGCTAAGGTGAATGTGTTGGTCGACATACCAAAGTGCCATGGTTGAACGAATGGAACTCTGCGCTGGAACTGAAGCAGCTGATGGCATCATCTTCAAGCGAAGTGATTGTGGCTGTCTTCGTGGTGTGAACATGTAGTCCCCAACAGCTTGTCTCAAGTGGTGGACGGAGCGGGTTGTTTGTTGGATGTGATTTTACGTAGTTGCGAGTGCTTCATGATTTTGGCCCTGTTCACTGTAGATCGTTAGTGCGATTTGGTGAGCATTCTGAAGTTGATGGTTGGAGAGCTTGTTGCGGAGGAATACTGCAAGTTGCACGTTTTGGTGTGGTGGCATTTGTTCAATGACCTTTCTTGTCGTGACTCGTGCTATCTCGTGCTCGTCATATCAATTTGGTGTTGTATGGGGTGGAGGTCATCCTGTTGCATGTTTGATTGTCGACATGATCTCTTTGATGCCACGGCTCATCGAATGTAGATATCTGGTCTTTTGACCGAGTAGGATAGGGCTTGGGACATGCACGAGGCTATGTGCATCATTGTACATGTGAGTCGGGTTCTCCATACTGATGTGAGTTCAGTCGAATGATTTGACAGTAAACTTGTTCGTGTTGGGCGGTCCATCCACCGTAGGGCCCGAAGTACTTGGCCCTGTTCGTACTCAAGGCTTCAATGTAATCCGCCGAGGCCACAGGCCTCCGGCGTCTTGAGGGTTAAACTAAGTACCCACCACCTGATCCCAAACATGCGTTTTTTGGGCACATTTTCGACCCCCCACTCCTCTTGCGGCAACACATGGTTCAGCGGAGATTGTCCGACAACGCCCAAGAAGGGAGACCAGCAGTAGTCGACTTATGGCCTGCATGGTGCCTGGAAGGAAGGGCAAAGAGTGCAGCTGCTGCACTGTCGAGCCGAGGCGGGCTGCTCATTCGGGGATAGGGGAGCGGAAGACATGGGATGTTTTAGGGGCGGCATGCGACACGAGTGATGTTTCACTTCACAAGCACCATATACATAAGGATGAAGCTGATGGAACAACATTGAAAACTGACTACTAGCAGTATATCCCGTCTCTTTAGACATAGTCACAGCAAAAGTGTGATGCTGCAGACTGAAACAATCAGTTGTTTCGCGCCAGGAGGATGAAGAGGGCATGCATGGGCATGTCATGTCTAGTGTTATGGTCGGGGGTCGCAGATCTTCATTCTGAACAGTCGGGCGACTTTTCGATTGCAGTGGGTTTCATGTTGTCGTGGGAATCCGGATGGGCTGATGTAAAACGGCCTGGTGGCGAAAGACTTCTCGGAAAAAAAACATGGCGTGTAAGAAACTGCCAGCTAAAAACTGATACAAACTGTCGCACACAACCTGTTGTCATGGTTGGAGCCAAACGATAGGACCAGCAGTCAGTAAGAATCGCATTGCCTTTTTATATATATGTTGGCATGAAATGTTCACATAACGCTAATTCGGAAAGAATGTTTGATCGGAGCAATGTTGTTCTTGTTAAGGTATCCACATGAAGAAATTTGTTATTGGCTACTGTCGGTTGTGGGAAGCATTAGCACTGATCACAATATGACATTGATAAGGCAGCCCAATACGAGCATCACAACAAATTCGAGGGCTGGTGACGCGGTACACCTGACAAAATCGAAAGTGGCTGCATCAGCTTTCCGCAGGGCAGCTGGTGATAATTGCGATAGGAGGAAGATACACACCATCTGTCGCTACTCGAAGTGATCGTCGTAGGAGGGCGAGGGTTAGGACATTGCTGATTGATATCTTTGTGGGTGCCCTCGGTTGGAAACGATTTGAAAATTGGAATTGACAGGTAGTTGATGCGATTTGGGTGGATTTGAAGGTGCATTTCAGGAATTCGCTGACTTGCGGTTCGGATTCGGATACGGTGGGAGCAGTCCGGCAATAAATGCCAAGACGCGGAATATACATTTGCTGTTGTAGTTGGTTTCTTGCCAGGCATAAGGCCTGACTAGGCCCTCCCGGAGCATGCCAGGAAAGTCCTGGATGTTTCTTGTGTGTGGCCAGGTGAAGGTGGTGGAGAAAATGGTCGTGGGTAGCATTAGTGGGTTGCGAAGTGGGCGGCGTTGCATTTTTGACATGCCTCGTGTAAGGTAACTTTGTGTAGTATGGGTGGTGGATGGTGGTGGCATCCGTTTCGATACCATGCGGCGTCCTGTAACTGGGCAAGAACTGTCGGTGTTAATGAGTTGCAGCCTTAATTATGTCTTGGTTCTCTCCATACAGAGGTCTGGAACAAGCCTTCAACATTTTTTGTGTACAGGGTTATGAGGATGTGCTCATGGTGGTCGCGGCGTTCCGGTGTGGAATTGCACAGGACGTCACACGTGTGGGTCAGGATTGTCCAGGATATTCACGTTGTAGGAGATCTTGGTACAGTTGATGACCTTTTCGTCTGTCTTCGGGCGACAAACGACGGGGTTATGGCGCACCATAATTAACAAGTTGAGGATGCAAGTCGTCTATGAAAACGGTTTTGACGTCTTTGCCGCCTGGAAGCTCGGCGATGTCGATGTCCTCGATGTTGCCGACCACGTACGTGCTGATGAGCATGTGTTTACGATCCTTAAGCACTTGGTGGGTCTGGAGCTAGTGTTGGTTGATGTCTTTGCGAGGGCAGGCGCACGTGACGTAGTGGAATTGGGGTCGACCGTGATAGGGCATGGCGTGGTTTGTGCTGGGGGAAGTGGTGGTGGTACAGATTGTCAAAGTGGGTTGGGCAGGACTGTTGTGCCGGAGGACATCGTTGTTGGAGCTGTTGTTGAGGAAGTTTGTTGAGCAGGCACTTGTGGAGTGCCGATGCGTAGTGTATGTGTCATAAGAGCATTAGAAACTGCATGTTTCATAACATGATGGAAAATGTGCAAGGATTCGAGCGCTGGTGCCTGGTGGAGGAAGGGGGGGGCGGGGGTGCCGAATGGGTTCAAGGCGCTATTGATTTGTCAATCATGTACAAGTTGCTATGCGGGGTGGAGCGGCCAGGGGTCTGCAAAGCACTTGGTTGGGAGGTGGCTGTGACTGTGCGCATGGTGGGGTACCAACATTGACCTACTAGTGGTGTACTGCCCTCTGTCCGTGCGCATCTCGTATTTCAACTAAACCGAAGATGTCATTACAAATTGGAACCCTGGCGTGCACTCACAGGTATTCGCACAATCTACCAAGACTGTACATGTACGTTGCTGGGTGAGGTTCTGGGCCTCGCCTCTTGCCAATGCAGGTACAACAGAGCTGGCCAAGCTCTGCCTGGTATGAGATCAAGTAGCTTCGTTGGGCGTGTTCCCGGATCTCATGCCACGTCGATACATATGGAAAATGAGTTTTTGTTGCATGTTCAGCAGTAACCCCCCCCTCCCCACGCACGCTCACTCACACACAGACACATATGCACACGCATGCACACTTACTTTGCCGCTGAGCAAACTCATGCTCGTACATACTCTCGCTCCCATGCACGCCTTGCTGCCGTCCTGTTGGTCTGGCCTCTGCGTTTCGATCACGTTGCAAGACGCACGCACGCACACGCACGCACACGCACAGGCGCGTGCGCACGCACGCGCACACACGCACAAACACAAACACACACAAACACACACACACAAACACAAACACAAACACACACACACACAAACACACACACACACACACATACACACACACACACAAACACCGACACCGTACAATGGCATATGCGGAAGTTACGCTGCAGCTGTTGGTGCAAGGCGGATCTGGCCTGCGCGCGGAATTGCAGGAGCAAAGCCACAGTTGCAAAAACGCGATCGCTGGGGGGCGTCATCACAGCTAGATGCCTAAGCTCACAGGATGCCACTCCTTACGGCCGTGTAGGGAGTCAAACGTTGGCTAAGAGAAGTGCAACAAGGTAAAGCCATCATCGTCTCGCATCACGAAAGCAGCGTGCTTGTTCTCCAATTCCTGGAAGATGTTGCAATGTGGTCCTTTCTTGTCTGCGAGTTGGCCGACTTGCCTTTAGAAGCTGGCGAGCTCGAGGAGGCTCAGCCGCACGAACAGCAGACCATAGCGCTGACAAAGTGCCATGCTCTACGTCCTTGTGCTGAGCAATGCAGAGAAGGCAGACATGCGACGCCCTGTCCATGCTGTCACAAATCGAGCAGTCCTTCCCATTCCACTTTCTGGCTGGGCTCTGTGACAGGACAGTGGGCTGCTTGTAGCCCTGTGCATAAGAGGAGATGCCTAAAACAAGATCTGTGCTGCGGGTGTCCTCGCCGAAGTCCTCTGCGCCCGGGGCTGATCGCTGATCCTGTTTGGTGGCATGTCAGATGAAGAGCACAGTTGACAGGACTTGCTTGTGCTGCCTTTTGTGGGTCCTCGCCGACCTTTTCGGGTATCGCGGAAGGACCAAGCAGCTCCTCCTTGCACTCGAGCCAGAGATTTGGGTGAAGACTTTGGAAGGTGACGAGCTGATCGTCCTCTGCGGCAGCTTCCCGGAGCCCATCCTAAAGGGGGCTGCATGTAGTGTTGCAGGATGTGCCTGTGACTCTCTGCCTGAAACCCAGAGATCGTCTGACAGAGGGATCCCAAGCCTGTCTCGCATTCACCTCCAGCTTTTCCTTCGGCATCAACTTCTCCTCATGCACTGGATGTTTGCAGCGAGGAAGCATCACAGTATGTCGCAGTGACATGTCGTCCTCTTCGCACCTGGCCAATCCTCCTGTTGTTCCATGTTCGCCGCCCTCCTACAAAAGCAGAGCTTGCCGTGCAATCTCGTGGTACTGCGATCCGGAGAGGTCCTGCAGTTGTTGCTGAAGAATGTCTTGCCTAGCAACCCGCACAAAGTACTTCGGGGCAGTGCTGGACATCCACAAAGTCAAGTGCAAAGGTAATGCGAGGGATGCACACCCGGCAATGTTGCGGCCAACAAAGAATCAGTGCTTGTACCATCTTGTACCTATCTCAGATCTATCCGGCAGGCCTCTCGGCGCACGCCATCTTGATGAAATCGCTGGCTCGCATGTTGTTCATGGTGGTCCTGTGCAGCTGGGTGTGGCACTTGCAAGAACGACAACGCCCTCAATGCGCTGCATGCGACAGCTTTTCCGGATAGGCCAATCAGCTCTCGTCGCGCACACGCCGAATTTCCTCTACAAGCATCTGCTGACCAGAAATCGGACAGTGGCCATGCTGCTGTACATGAGGCACCAGGCAAGTGTAGCAGAATGCATATCCACTGCACGACATAGCTGCATTGTTGCGGCGGCGGTGGCATAGCGCACATATGGTCCTATCTTCTGGCAGCAGGACAAGCTGCAGCGCCTGAGACGGACTTCCTAGATTTTCCGGATACGGGTAAGGCTCAGGAGGCGGAGGAGGTGCTTTGCGGGGCTGCAAAGGTTGCAGAATCTGCTCCCGCTGATACCACCACTGCATAAACTGAAGCAAGTAGATCCCACCCCAGAGGGAGCTCTTGCCACACATCACCACCAGGTCACCCACGCGTTTGGCCAGGCTTTTGTCACTTGCCTCATCTTGTGCCTGACTTGGGGGCTCCGGAAAGTGTCGCGCAAGCCGCAAGCCTAGAAGATGCAACCAAGGTGACCAAATGCCTGTTTGTTCCAGCAGGTAGAGAAGGCGATACACGAATGTCAAGCCAGTGCTCGCAGTGTGTGCCGCTGGGTAGCACCGACGGAGTAGCATGTCTGCGCGACAGCTGTCTGTGCTTTGGGACACCTCCAGCTGCCTAAACCTTTCTTCGCATTTCGCCCAGATCCATGGAAAGACGACAGCAAGAATCAAAGACGTTCCAAGTTGCCTTCTGTTCAAAGGCGGAGCATTTCGTCTCTGCCTTGCTCTCTCCAGGGCTTCCAGCGGCAGCAACTCTTTCGACGACTCCTGCTGTCGCCTCAAGCCGAAGAAGTGTTCCGCGAAAGTGGCTCCGTGCACTCTTAGGTGGTACCCCTCCAGGAAGAAGAGGAACAGTGTGTAAATGGCCTGCCAGTACCCCAACACTGGCTGCAGAATACGTGGAGCCCTTTCTGCACCAATCTCCACGACAAATCTCAAGGCAGGCCTGAATATGTCGGATAACTGATCTTGTGCAATAAGCTCAAAGAAAGTCGGTCGAAAAATGTCTTTCCCTGCATATACACTGGTCAGGAAACCTTCGTAAGCAGCCATCCGGATCGTGTCACATGACCAGGCAGCATTTATGCAGCAAACCGATCAGGATCAGGGCTCATGCTGCACCGCTGCAGCGGCTGTCTCCAGGTCTGGGCTTTAATCCTTCAATCTAATGATGCTAGCTGACACTTCCTCTTTCTCTGGTTTTCTGACTCTCATGCTTTGGCTCATGAATCGAAGGCAACCTAAGTCTGCTTCATCTGACAGGAGAAGTTCTGCGCATGACGTCATCAATACTTTCAGACCTAAATCACAATGTCTTAAGCCTCCTAAGCCCTGGCCTCAGCGGGTCTGCTCGGTACTCGAGGAGCAGTTCTACAGCCTCGTGGCATCCTGCGCAGACTGCCTGCCGACGGCGTGATCACAAAGGCTGGTCCTACAGCGCCAGAAACCTTCGTCCTGTGCTCTTGAGTTCTTTGGCAGTTATTGCAAACAAAGGTGGCCCTGTTGGAAGCTGGAAGCCCTGCTGCCTCCATCAGCGGCGTTTCGCCCAGGGGCTTGTCTGCAGCATCCGGGCAGGCCTGGGCCTCCAGGAGGATGCGACAAGCACCTGTCAAGTTTGTGGCACATCCCATCTTGCCTGGAGGATAGGCTAGCGGCTAGCTAAGTCTGAAGGCACAGCGAAGCTGTTGCGGGGGCACAATCCGCTAACCAAACGGTCTCGTCAAATCCCACCGAGTGCTGAACCGAGCTGGTCCGCTTCCCCACTAACCTCAGCTTCCAAGCCAGCCGCGACTGCAGGGCACTGACGACCGTCAATTCAACTGCTGATGCAAAGCCTTGGGCAGGCTGTGACCAGATTCGCATTGGAAACCCTGCCCCACGTGGCACAGCTCATCCATTGGCACGCACAAAGCCGCCATCCACTGGACTGGCTGCCATCAATTTACACCGAGGGAGGTAATTTGCCAGGTTTGGGGTTGAGAGCGATCGAAGACATTCTACGACGTGAGTGCACGCAATGCCGAGGGCCCTGCCAATGCACTTCGAACAGCCAACATCAGCGCGGTCTCCCCGATCTTGTTCCTTGTGTCTACGCCTGGAAGGACGATGCTGACGCTGCGACGCTGATGCCTCGAGCCATACCCCGCCGCCTCTGCTTGAGTCGCCAAGGCTCTGCGCCTCAAGGACTCAGAGCCTACTCCTAAGGGTGCGCATGACCCTGGTCGGCGTCTGGGAAATATTTTGCTTCTTTGCTTCACCCCCCCACCCCCGCTACCCCCCTACCACACAAATCTACGTCCGCCAACCCGACGACTCTCGCCGGGCAGCCTGGCTCACTCTCATTCCAAAGTACGCAGTCCCCTCCCCCCCCCTCCCCCCACATTCCCCCACCCTCCGGCGTGCATCATCAGCATCAGTTAAGCTCAAGAATGAGAGTGCCTGCTGGAGCTTGGTCCTGGCTACTGCCTGCGCTGAGAGCCTGTGGGCGCATCCCCTAGAATATAATGTGAATCTGAGGGGTCCAGCCAAGAAACACGCAGGCTCAGCTTGACCAGTCATGTTTCGTGCGGAGCACAAGTGTGCATCCTGTGCATTGCCCTGCCTCCTGAACGAGCAATTCCAAAGCCACCTCGGCTTCAGCTTCATGAGCCTGATCGTGTTCCTCAAATGCCCCTGATCTGAACCGGCGCAAGTCCCTCGACCACGCAACTAGCAACACAGGAGGCTTGGAGATACGACAAAGAAAACGATGAGATCCTGGCTTGGCGTGTGAGCACCGGCAACTCTGCTCCCGCAACGAAGTGCAGAAGGGACTGCCTGGAGCCGGCGGACTGAACAGCTGGATTGTGCACTTTGAGGTTCTCGCAGCAAGTTGCGGGCCATGTTTTGCCCGTGCCCATCCAACATAGGGGTGCAAAGGTCTTGTGAGACGCGCTCTCCTTAAGAGACGGCAACCTTTGCCTTGCGCTCTCTGTATGTGGTGCTCGTAAATGCCTGGATCCAGTCCAAACGTCCGTTGGTGCATGTGAGCCAAGACGACTTGCTTCAGCACACAGGATGTCGAATATTTGCAATCTGGAACCTGTGAGAACTGTGTTAGGAGACCGTGGCCACTCGAACTTTTAAGACTGAATCCACGCAGGCTTTGTGACAGCCTTCATGTACAGCTGGCAACGATTTGCGGGAACCCTCTCGCCGCGCTGGGTAGCGGGAGTTAGACTCCTCTGTTACCACGAATTCTCCTCTCTGCTTCTCCTCATGGATGAGGCCCGTGCAGCAACACTTTGCCACCTACTTCGAACACTTAGTAGGCTTGCTGGAGGCTCCATCAGGCTCGCTCTGTGAGCAGATAGACCTATCTATCACAAGGAGAACATGAGATTGTCAGAGTTGTGGCCATCCAGCAGTCGAACTTCCATCAGCTCGAACAGCCTGGGCCACGCAAGCACCGCCTCTGAGCAGATGCTCTGTGAAGGTCTGGATGATGTGCAGCAACTCAGCACGCCGACAACTAAGCAGCGACATACAGATCACCCTCTCGCCGTTTTGTCCGTCATGACTCAAGACCCTCTGCTGAAACTGCATATGAAGTTGTGGTGTCGAAATCGATTTGTGTAGACGTCGTACAGAGACTGTTGATCGTACAGACGAATGTTGATCGTACAGACGAAGATGACTCAGAATGGCTCAGAGTAAGAAATTTGGTTAACTTGCACACTTGACAGAGACGCCTTTCAAAGGGCTGCGTATCATTCTCGAACTGCTGCAAGATCGCGTTGTTGGCAAGAGCCTGAAGACCAGGCTGAGAGCTGTGCTCAGCTCGACAAGACGAATCCCACTGCTGTCTGTGATCGATGCCTGCCGCTCCTGGAAAAGCAGCAGCTGGTCCACCTGTCCATGATGGAGATTATAGCGGCGACACTGGCAGTCGCACCGGCCTCAGCTTGATTGAGCTCCAGAACACCTTCAGACTCACCACGTTGAGTCTCCAGATTTCTCAGCACCTCACGGTGGTCACAGCACATGCTGAGTACTGGTGTCAAGCACGGTCCTGCCTGCTGGGTAGAGACCAGTAGCTCCTGAGCTGCAACACAGGGTCAAGTCCGTCCAGGTCGCCCCAGCTCTGTCGGCAGAGCTTGTTGACCGACTTTCAAGTCCAAGACGCAGTTTGCATAGCTACCTCTCTCTCCACGCGCTCGGCAAAGGCAACTTCGAGCTCCTGCAGAGTTTCAACCCGCCGTGGTTGCCGAAGTTCCACCGAAGCTTCACAAGCATTGGCGTTTGCCGTGTTTTCACCGGCCTGCAGCTGGGCTTGCGTCTGCCCGATCTCGACGTCAAACTCATCTGGCAAATCCACCTCTTGGAGCTGCAAGCCTGCCCACGTCAAGCACTTCCCCGACACATCAGTCTCCTCCACGATCTCAGTGCTCCGCGCCTTTGATATTGGCTTGCAGGCCTTTATCTGGAAGTTGGAAGTTTCTTTCTAAGTCCTGCAGGGCCACACTACTGTCAGCGCATGCGCGACAGCCTTCTGCTACTCTGAAAGCCTCCAGCATAGCGGCGATGATGATGGTACGGTTGGTGAAGTACATGTCAGCAGGGAAATGCGAACCTTAGTTCCAGTAATTAATTTGCGAGAAACTGTCTCATGCTTTGATGTGTTCGGTCGCGGCCACTGCAGATGAAGGGCATGTGCTGATGATTGCCGCTCGGGCAAAGCGAACAAAAGCATCATCGTAGCCCTCCTCACCCAGCAGGTAGTACAAAGGGGTCAACGCCTGAGCTTCGGAAGAAACGGACTCGCCGGCTCAGCTACACAAGTAATCTTTCAAACCGGTCAACTTTCAGCAGTGCCTGCGGCTCGAGCTTCCACTGAAAGCTCACAGTGACCTTGCATCCCAGGTGAAAGGAGCACGGAGACAAGTCGAGACTTTCGAGTCATAGAGTTTGTCGATTTGGTGTCGGGCATACATCTCTAGCCCATCAGCAGAGCGAGCGCGGATAGGAGTCTTGACGATTGGTGGAAATGCACTCTGGGAAGTTGCCTTCAAGGGCACGACACCAAGTCGTGCAAATGTGAACACAAGTCACACACACACATCAAAAGAGGCAGACGCACATGCGACTCAAACAATATGCCGTGCCTGCACACCTTGCGTCGAACTGGTAAAATACATGGTCTGAAACGTCGATGGATATTCCAATAGACTGTTGCCCAAACCAATGAACCTGCTCAGCTGACAGTTGCAACTGGCTAGTTGTCACTTCTTCTCTCACCAGGTTGCGGGGAAGGCGTGATAATGCAAAAGCTTGGTCCACGGAGTCCGCTGGGGTCGTGGCTTCATTCCAGCTTCCGTCTCCTCAGGTGGTGGAACACCGCTGACCCGGCCAACACTTCGTCGCGGGGCCGCCCCGCAATCCGAAATGCCCGCCCAACAACCAGAAGTGTTTCGTTGTAGCTTTTGCGAATCCACGTGCAGCACAGCCGCAGGCTCGTCCAAAATGCTTTGTGACAGCCAAATCCTTTGGTGCTCTCAAGTGGAGCTTATCGGGTACAGTACCGGATGGAATCACAGGACGTAAGCAGCGGGCAAATTTACAGCATACTTGCCCTGTTCCATGGACCTCAGCTACTCTGACTTTAAAGGCTACACCGCATGCGCAGGCAGACCAGCGCATACTCACGAGTGCTTCCGCCCAGTAGCCGCAGGGAGAGAACTGCAGCCTAAGAATTGTGGCGGCATACCCAAACATGAGCACAAGTCCAGTCCTGGTTCACAACTGACAAGCATGACCCCCAAGAACTAGCAGCAGACAAACTGACAAACTGTTGTAGCAAGACCTTCCGCGTGCTAAGCTTGCCGCGACAACACCAAACACCAGCCAAAAGCAGCCTTGACATTCAGCAGATGCAACCGACAGTTTTCGTCCACACACACACACATGACACAAAGCTGCCGAAGGCCGGAAAGTAGCCAACCCCAGCTCGTTGCAGCCGAGGCTCAACAAAAGCAGCCGCATGCTTTGAATATTTGAATATTTTCAATGCCCATGTTGGCACCTCAGTTTCACAAACCAGGTGTTTCACTACGAGGCGAGGCCGCCGAGCTCGCTGGGATAATGCAGCGCAAATTGATTGCTTTTGTCCAGCTTTTGCTGCCATGATTGTAAGCACGCTCCCTCTTGTTGGCCGTGCCAGTAGGAAAGCACTGTAGAAAGTCTCTAACAAACATATCACGAAGTCAGGCTGTGGGCGACATCGAAACTTCTGTCTTGCAGGCATCCGCTCTGGATGCTTGGCTGCTTGACCCCCAAGTGCAGATCTTGCCGGCATTTTTGCGTTGCACTAACTCATGTCAAGACTTCCCAACAAGCACGGCAAATACAAGAACGTGCTTCCTCAAGTGTGGATGCAATGCGAGAAAGAGAAACGAACCTCTAAACCAACCAACCTATTCAAGACATGGGCGTGCTCAACTGTTGCTCAAAGGTGGGGCCGGCAACCAGATCCAGAGCCAACAGTCCCGCTTCATCCCCCCATCCCCCAACAACAGCAGCCAGGCACGACACACCCACCCTGGCACAAGCCTGGCTGACATGATGTACGAGCAAGAAGAGGTCTGGTTCGAAGAGAGGGCCGGTGTTCCTGCCTAACCCAACCGAACCGGGAACACCAAGACTAACACATCAGAATGTCTGACAGCTGGAACCACTTTCGAGTGTCCATTCGGCGAGCTCACTGCGGGATCGGCTAGCTGGCTGCTGCAAATAGCTAGGCCAACTTCTGCACATTCTGGCAGGCGCGAGGCTGAGAGGACCAGAGCAAGCTACAGCTGCCTAAGAGCATGTCATGCTTCATCTGCACGAACCGAAGCTTGCTGCAAGATGCATTGGCATGGGACAGCTGGCATTGCAAAAACGGCATTCAGGCTGCTCAATGAGGCTTTGCGATTCGTTTCCCACCCAGATGATGGGAACAGCTGAATATTGACATGGACGGCAAGAAATTCAACAGAGCGGTCAAGCACGTCTTGGGACCACACAGCGCGACGTCCAACCTGCCTAGTCGTGCTCTCTTGGTCTGAGCCAATGGGCTGCGTGTCTGCTGTATCCCGTGGTGCAACTTGCTGGTACCAAGGCTGCCGAATAGCACAGCTAGGGAAAGTTGCAGGATATCTGGACATTCTAACTGGCCATGTGGGTAGATTGCCAGACGATCGTATATGCAGGCTTGAGCAAGCCATAAGACTTCACAAAACCGGCAGTGCGTGCCCTGAAGCATCGAGGCCAAAGAGCGTGGAACCCCAGGAGGAGATCGAGTCGCCTTCGCAGTGGCCAGAAGCAAGGAAGCAAGGCTTCCGACAGAATCATCTTCGATTCCGGACTCTGAGGCTTTCGCCACTTCTATCCTGCCACATTGCATCCATTTCGGTAAGCTCTTTCTCAACCATGGTGTTGAGCCGCTCACAGCTACCCCTTCCTTCGCACGCAGAAGCCGCTCAAAGGTTGCAACTTCCTCGGGCAAGACTTCGAGGAGAAAATCAGCAGAACAGTTGCAACACCTAAGGCCCTGGCAGAGTTTCTGACAGCTTCCCTGAGACAAGCCTCGTGGAACAGCAACGCGGATCTGTGTTAGTTGGACAGTTGCGCATTCTGTCAACAGCCAGGACTGACACCTGCAATGCCTTCGCAGCAAACTCCGACGCCTCAGAAGCTGGTGAATGATTCGACAGGGCGGGTCGATCAAGCTATCTGGCCAGAACAAGCTAGAACAAGCTCCGAACCAGTGAAATACATGCACGGCCGGGGAATGCGAAGCCCTGACTGGCTAGCTGAGGCCCCTTCCACATCTGCAGGCGAATCTTGCTGCTCCTTTTGCTGTTGCCGGGGGGAGTGGGCTCCAGAGACAAGGCCCGCACGAAAGGCAAGTTGCAACGAGGAGGTGCGCGCATTTTTCGGCTCGTTCATCTGGCTCTGGGGGCTTCTGATGGTCCACGGCTTGCTGAGACGCCCCGGGGCAGTCGGCATCAAACAGCCTTCTGAAGTCACCCGCTTTCACTCACGCAAAACATGTCCGTGACTCTTATGCATTCTGACGCAGGCTTCGCCTTAAAACAACGAGCGGGGATTCCAAGCACAGCTGTTGTCACGATGACCGCCAGGTTTGCCATGCACAAGCACAGCTGCCCAATATGCCATCCTCCCGAAGCAGCCACCCCTCACAACGACATCCTCCAGAAGGAGTTGGCCGATTTACAGCTAACTTTAGGGTTTGCCCTGGATTCTGCAAGGTTTTATCAATGGCTCGGCCAGAACGATGCACTGCAAGCCCGAGCTGTACAACGTCTCGTGGCTCTTGCATCTTCTCGAACACCGGGGCCTTTCTATTTGGCGCCCTTGCTCGCCAAGAAGTCTGCATACTGCACGTCATACAGTGTCGTGTGCTCGTGGAATTCCTGCAAGCTGCTTAAGCGGGCTGGAGGCTTTCATCAGGCAAGACATCCTAAAACGTTGTCTGCTTCTGATCCACTAGCCGCAAGTACAGTATCAACAGGGCAGGGTTGCCTGCAGAAGCTCTCGCACAAAAGTGGCTGGAACAGATGGACCACGGGACAGCTGCTTGCGAACCTGCAGTTCTGCCAACTGTCGCACGACTATTGGCATCGCAGTGAAGTCAATGCAAAGCCTTGTCAAGCAGCCGGCGATGCTCGTTGGCGTGGCTCGTCTTTGCAGACAACTTCTCCTAACCAACGGAGAGGAACCGATGTTTCGGGGTCAGACCAGTCATTTCTGAGCTCCGCACATTCACATGCACCCCAAAACCGTGCTCTTCGAACAAAGCTTCCTTCCAGGAGTTTCACAGCAGATCCACGCAAATGTCAGTGACCAAAATGGGGTCCAGCACTCCCTCAGCTTTACTGCACTCCTCGTGAGCGAAATGGTCCGACAAGCATCTAAGAACCTCCTCGCACAGAGTCAAACAAATGCCAGGGTTTGGAGACTCGCTGCGTCGAGCCTCCAGCACCTCTCGGGACCTGGCACTTGAGACAGACCATGCACATTGCGACGTGTTTGGGGTTTCCGGGCGGCCGTTCATGCATCTAAGTCGGTGTTCTTCCAGCTAGAGCGATGCAGCTGACATGCTCGTAAGCCTACAGTCCGGCCTTGTCTCAACAAGGCGTCGCAAGGCTATGGCGCACTCTTCATGCTCAGAGTCCATAGATGCCACCTGCCAAGGATGGGCGGAGGCAGCAAGTCTCGACCCTGTTGCCTACAGGAAACAGATTGGCCTTCACGCTAACCAGGTCCAGAGCTTGACTGACAAAGGACGAGTCAATCTTGCACCTGAGATCGACTGCTCGGCTGTCGTTCAATTTGGCATCCTGGGCATCGGACTCGGCCCGATCGCAGGCGCTTGGATCGCACTCGGTGCCTGCCAGTGTGAGGCTGACAGTTCTCGCAAAATTCTGCTTGCGCTGCACAAAGGTCACGCCTGAGTTGTAGCCAGCTTCGCAGCCCATTCCTGGTTTGCACTTGCCTCCGTTGCAACTACCATCCTCCGCCTGACAGATGGGTCGCAAAGCCATGGATGTCTGCGAGGCTCCGCGGACCGTCCTGTTGGCAGCCCTTGCTCGTGCTCGTGCTGCAACCTAGCTCCCAGGCGGACCGACTGGCTTCCCCCCTTCCAACCCCACACCTTGGCCGCAGGTGCCGTCACTGCAAGTCTGCATGCTCTCCTCGTCCATGGGCTCCAAACGCTCCACCTGAAGGGCGCAGCTCTCCAAAGCATCTTGCAAGGCCCAAAGGCCCAGACTGACGAGCGTGGAACAGCAATCACTTTTCCCTGCATCGGCCCATCCTTGGCTCTCTCCAATTCTAGGGAAGGCGGCGCGAAAGAGAGAGTGAGAGAGAGAGAGGGAAGGCAGGCAGGCAGCGATTGCAACAAATAAGCTGCTCACCATGAAGCCAAAGTCAACCTAACAAAAAATGGGCATGGATCACACATCCACTTTGACCGATCCAACACCAGTTTCCTGCCTTGTCACCGTCTGCTCGTGTACAAATGCCCCTGTCAGCTACCAAACAAAACTGGAAGTCTCGGTGCAGGCAGCTCAATGGGTGCCGTCCTGTAACCTTGGAGTTTTTCCAGTCCCGCCGGTGCTTTGACCAGTTGCACTTCTTCGCCAGGACCTGACTTTTTTTGAAACAGTCGAAGTCAGCATGTAGCATGCGGACCTCTCGGCTTTCCTTGATTTGTCCTCGCAGATCCTCGCAGAATACCCGGTCTGAGATCACCACAGAGGTCTGGCAGGGGCAGGTTCTTGCACACGGAGTTGAGCAACGCCTGCGCCGTAAAACTCGTCCACAACTCAACATGTCAAAAGATGTCAAGAAAGCTGCCGACTCTTCCGCCAGACAGTAGCGCACTTTTCATTGCGCTCTTTCTTTCGCCAGGGCTCCGGGTTCGAGGGCTGCCCCTCTCGCTCTCTCACTCTCTCTCTACCAGGTGCGGGAGCTTGGGAAGCGTCCAGTCCCAAGCCCCCGCGCGCGTACCCGCCCCCGCAGTCCTCGCGTGTCTCACAGTATCCCCCCTGGAGATTTTCCGCCAGGAGGGCTCGGCTGTACTGCAAGGAACACTGTCTCTGCCCAGCAAACACAGTTGAGGACACATGGGACTGTTCAGCATGATGTAACACGATGGCACTATCTCCTAGTGCTATGTGGCAAATTGTGGCAAGCTCTCTCTCTCTCTCTCTCT